GCTCAAGGGGGTTGAATAATGCAGGGCCTCTGATCGGCCATTTCATTTTTTTTTAAAGAGATATATTTATTTATTCTCCACACACCAAGACACATTTACCAATGATTATCTTTATGCGCATGCCACTGTTGTTGATGTGACTATTGATTGGCTGTATTTATTCAAAACATCAGCTCTGATGCTGATTGGCAGCTCTTTGTGAGAGCACAGAGCTCAAATAAAATGCTTAAAAAGAAAAGGAAGTATTTTACAAAAGCAGACATTTATTTTAAAAATTCCCCAAAATAATGAAATTTTTGTGGTGTCAACAACAGCTAGATCACTCACTAGCTCCCATAACCACAATGCCATGTTAACATTAGAGTGCCTGCTGAGTTCTTCAGGAATGATGTGCAGTGGGAATGACATTTTAAGAAATGGGACATTATTAAAGACATTTCAGCCAAGAAAAGGATAAGAAAGAAAGAACAGTAAGCTATGTTTATTTATCGGTCCATTTGCAGTGTTTTTAGGGGCTAAAGAGATCATTTGCTCCTACTTAGGGTGTTCTGGTGATGGTAATGGCTTTACTGAGTAAACTCTACTACACACTGATGGAGAACCGTCACAGCATCACACAGCAGATTGAACAGAGTGCACATATAGCACAAGGCCAAGTTCATCTCAAGTTGAGGCTAAGTTAATATTTTATATTCTATCTTACTGTATTGATTGAGCACATTTGATATCAGCTAATTAACTCTTCACTAACTTGCTGTTTTCAAGCTGAAATTTATGAGGTGAGAGGCGATAGGCTAGTAACATTAGCTTAGGTAAAAAAGACAATTAGCACTTTTAAACTAGCTGATTTCTCAGTGTCATGTTCCAGCCTTGACTGTATTTGGCTTTTAGAGGTCTGGTTCTGGGTTTAAGATTTAAGTAATAGGGAGATGATGACATTTAAAACGAAGTCCTTGGATGCCGTGTAGTTCGGTGTGTGGCTGCGTTCTGGTTCTGTTGATTGTTAGCGATGTGACTATCTCTTTCCATGCTAACTAAATCTGGTGTAAAGTCAGTTCAGTCAGGGTGTGATTTGTGTTATACTGATTTTATGGATTTTAACTAGACCCACAGGGCCCATGACCCATATGCACTTTAAAGCGCTCCTGGTGATGATGGACTGTTCACTAAAGTCAACATGACCATCTAGTTTTCTAAGGAGGGTGAAAGGAACTTTCTAGTGAGGCCTTTGGCAAATCAGTGGGGTGAGGGGAGCATGCAGGTGGCTTCATGGTGGTCTTACTGGCTAGATGGCAGGTGAGCAGATGCCATGTTCGATATATGTGCCGGCATCAAATCAAACAGGAGTGACAATTGTAGATGCTAGAGTCAGTCCTGTCTCCTAGTGAGAAGCCTGATAAATATGGATGTAGGTATATGTACACTCCACGCACATACACACAGAGATTATGGGACTAGCCTAGCTATTCTTTAACTGCAAAAGGTACTAATTACAATCACATGTATTCCTCACGCCTTAGGCCAGCAGTCAAGGGCACATGGACCACTTTTGCTCAGCAGATGCTGCTGGCTGTACTGAACAGCAGAACTGGGTGACTGGCATTTAGGGAAAGCCATGGAGCCTTCATATCTTCATGCCTAGATCTTCCTTAACTCACATATACACTACAAAAGACACTGGATTCCCCATTATCGTCATAGTTTTTGAAGGCCAATCCCACCATGCAGTGCACTCCCACTTCCATCTGTGTGAGATTAGAGATCAGCCCCAGCTCCTGAAGCATGTGACTGTAGCAGAACGCCTCCAAAAGCCGAGTCGCCCAAGAACGCTGCCTCACATCAAAGGAATTTCTGCCTCGCTCCACACACTGTGCAGCCGCATTTTTTAACATGACTGCTGTGGACCACAGGATAAGAGTACAGTGGCCTACATGCTTTGCTCTGTTTACTGACAGTACCAGCTGTAATATACTAAATCATAAAAAAAAATGGTAAGACAACAGCTACATTTATTCTGGTTGCACTTTTTGGAGTCTTAACTATAAAACCGTTCCACAATGCAAAAGGAGACCTATAGTAAGACATAAAGTGGCTGAAAGGCCTTTCTGAAACTACTTGCAGCTGTCAGCCCCCCAAAGGGAGCGTGTGTGTGATCTGCAGCTGTCTCTGTTACAGTGAGAAGGGACTGGGCATCACGCTGGCTTTGAGAGTCAAACTCCAAGCATATAACAAATTTACTTATTCCTCATACTCAGCATTATTAAGCTTCTCTCATTTTACTGATATGCTTGCATTATATTAGATAGACAGGAGAAAAAGGGAGCAGCATTTGATGAAAGGAACACTTTACCAACTGTTAAGCATGGGAGTAAAACTGTTTTGCTATGGGGTTCTCTGGCAGCCAGTGGCACAGGGAACATGGCAAGGGTAGATGGAAGAATACTGAACATCAGCAAATTTTGGAAGCAAATGTGACACAGTCAGGCAAAAAACAGAATCTGAAAACAGGACAATGTTCCAAAAAACCTCTGCATCCACTTTTAACTACATTCAGAAATCTATGGGTAGATCTTGAACATGCAACTTTGAACTTGAGCATGCAAGACGGGCCATGAAGACTGGTTTGCAAGAAAGAGTGAGTTAAAATTCTTAAAACAAAAATAGAAAGACTCCTAGCTGGCAACAAAAGTGTTTGCAAGCTGTGATATCAGTCAAAAATGGGTGTAATGTAATAGAGTGTTGAAACTTTTGCACATGTGACAATTACTATTTTATTTTTTTTCTATTAAGTTAATCAAATTTGCACAGAATGTTATTTTCAGAGAGTTTGCTGCAGAGGTTGTATTTTCTTCTTTTCACTTTAACAATCAACAAAACAATTTGGCCAGGGGTGCCCAAACTTGCAAACAACTGTAGGTTGGTGGGTAGGTAGACGATTTCTTTCAGTTCCTTTATATGAAACACATAAAAAGTCTAGAATAGGAAAGTAACTGTAAGAGTAATAGGTGGAATGCTCTAAATGAATGTCAGTATCCCTTTTTCCTCCTTTTTCTGTGTAACCAGATGCTCACTCCTCTCCTGCCCATGTCTTCCTCCAGTAAAATGGATAACGACTGAGATTTGAGCTGGCTGGGCGTTTGTTCTCCACTTTTCAGGGCGGTTATATGAGGGGGCATGAGGAACAGAGGGGGGGATGTCCTACTTTAGGAGGGAACATGCACATTCAAAGACAAGTGGCCCCTTCCCCACAGTTTGACACATGATTTCCCTCTTTGTGCTTGCTGCATCCTTTGGAATCACACACACATATAAAAATACACTACCATGTCGATAATATAAACTCAGTGTTGTTGCAGATAGATACATATCTGGATTAGAAAAACAAAAAGATAATGATGATGCTGTAGATGATCCTAAAATAGCTGACAATGCAGTGGAACATCAGGAATAAAGTTCTGATAAAAAGAATATGTAGAACGCCTTGTATTTCAAAAGTGGCATTATGGTAGTATAATCATATAAGTAAGGTATGTTATTTGTCTTTTCTCAACTTCTTGTTTTTCCTAACAGAAGAAATATTGAATAAAATGTCTAAAAATACCTCCAGATTTCTAGTTAGTAATATTTATATTGTTTCATTATTGCATAAAGTAACAACAATTATTAAAATGACAAATGATTCAAAACATTTGAATGGTAGTGTAAGTGTTTGCAGTAGTGCATGCTCACCCAGATGTGTAAAGGCAGCACTGGGGGGCTTTCTGCTGGCATTCATCACTTCCAACACAAACATACACACAACTCCTAACACACATCACGGTCACTCAAAAGAACCACAAAGAGAGATGGTGGAGATTTTGTTTGGGCTGCTACTGCTGGACTGTGTATGATTATAGAAAACAGACTGTACATAACAGGCGCATTTATAAACCACACGCACGCGCGCACACATTTGTTTTTATGCTTACTCAGGACGTATGGTGAAACTTGTGTATTAATATCTGCAAAAGTCAGAGATCATTCTTCATTTATTTATTAATCATTTATTAATTCCAGTCAAAAGAGACATTAGGTATAAGCTACTCATATTTTAGGAGATATCTCTGAGGAGACTTGCACAAGGAAGAGGAAAGTCAAAGGAAAATAAGTGGAAAAAAACAGGAGATTCCAAACCTGGAGTTCATAAAATTATGAAAAGATATAGGGAAAATGGGACTCTTAAAATCCATGTAAGACCTGGTAGACCACCTACACTGTCACTATCAGATAAACAGCACTTAAAGCTTTCATCTTTGAGAGAGAGGAGAAAATCAAGCTCCATTGTTAACTCAGATCTGAAAAAATCCACAGGTGTTTCTGTCCTTTCTTCCACTGTGAGAAGACAACTCAACACAATGAGTCTGAAAGGATGTGTGGCTGTCAAGAAGCTGTTACTGAGAAAATATTTTATGGGTAATATGGGTAATTTTTTTTTCTAAGACTAACCCTAACCTAACCCTAACCTTAACCTCAGTAACTAAAAAGAGATGGCTTTTACCCTTTATGTTTTGAAAAAATGAAACATGTAGCTTTGCTTTGCTAGAAGGTTCTGATATTAAAGGTAGCCACTGTTCTCTGGTTTTCCTGCATGGTCAGGACATTTTTGTCCCTAAGATATATAAAAACAAACACAGTTATGAATGCTCTAAATCTCCCAAATTCTGGATTTTGCCATATGTGAAGACACAGAGGGTCAAAGAAAGGGTCCAAAAATAACCTGTTCTTTTTCAGCTCATCTTCTGCTCTGTCCCCTCCCTCCATAGCTCTTCCTCTTTTCCTTTACCCCACTCCCTCTATCCCCTCCCTTTCTCCCTCAGAGCGAGCCATGTGCGCTTCGTTCCAACAGCCACAGTTAACCCCTCCTCAGAATAACCAATGGGCGGACAGTTGCCTCATTCTTCTCTCTCTTTTCTTTACTCATCTCACTTTCTTTCTCTCTTACTTCTACCACGCTGCTTCTTTTCTCCATTTTTTTTCTCCCAAACGGACATAATACCCTGTAGGAACTGGGTTGTGTGAGTGCACAGGGAGACCACTAACCGGCACCGGCTTACAGGCAGAGGGGGAACTGCAGGGAACTGCCTACACACACACACACACACACACACAGACAAACTTTGAGAGGAAACCACAGCGTAAACACACCAAAAAACAAACTGGCAAGCAGACTCCACACAGTGGGATAAAACCTCAAAGAGCAGGATTCACTGAGAAGAGGAGAACCAGAGGAGAAGGAAAGGCAGAAAGGGGAAAGAGGCGAGAGGAGTTAAGGAGAAAGGGCCATGGCAGGCACTCAGGTCCGGCTGCTGCTGGCCTGCCTGCTGCTGCTGCTGCTGGACACCGGCTCAGGGAACGCCCGCAGGCTCAGGAGGAGAGGACTCAGCCAGAAGGTGAGCAGCAAGGCTAGAGTTTTTTGAATGAGATTTCATGATTGTTGTATTGTAAAATAATCCAACTTCAAATATGTTGGCCTATGATTTTATGTTTGGTCAGAGGAAGTTTAAGTCTCATGCCCTCAAGTTGAATTAATTCTGAATTAATTTTGAATTAATTTGTAATAGATAAATTAATTTTAAAAAATGTGAAGTTATCATTTGAAATCTCAGTATTTATGCGCTGTGACTATAATCATTCCAGTGGAGAAAGTGAGAAATGTGCTGTGTACTTAACATGCAGTGTTGTGCAGAAGTCCAAGACCACTCTTCATTTGTTTAATTTTAGTAAAAGCAGCTATTGAGTGTCATGAAAAAAGCAGAAAACATATCTAACATAAATTTACATAGAAGCTTCAACAACTAACTATAAGTGTTTTTCGTATTCAGTGTGTCTACTCTTTGCCTTTATTAAGCGTCCATTCTTTTCAGAAGACTTGCTTTAATTTTTATAAGGAATTCATCATTTATATATTTTTACACAACTCCAAAGTTCAGTCTTAGAAGTTGATTTCTTTCTGATACATTTTAGTTCACAATCAAAGTAGTCCAAAACACACTCAATGATGTTGAGATCTGGACTCTGGGGTGGTCATTTCCATTGTTCTGAGAACACCAGCAGCTTCTTTGTTCTATTTACAAATGTCATTTCTTTTTTATCTTTTTCCTTTTCTTAGTAACAGCTCCTTGACAGCTACACATCCTTTCAGACCCCTAGTGTTGAGTTGTCATCTAACAGTGGAAGGATGGATCTCTCAAAAATGAAAGTTTTAATTACTGTTTTTCTGATGGTGACAGTTTTTTGTGGTCTACCAGTTCTTACATGGTTGTTAGGAGTCTTGTATCTTTTAACTTCAAGTTTGGAGTTTTTCATTTATTTTCCTTTGACTTTCCTTTTATACAAGTAGATTATTTTTATATAATCTCTTCAGAAAAATCCCCAGAAAAATAGAAAAAACTTGAACTTAGTAGCCGTTTTTCTGGAAATGAAATAAATAAAAGGTGGTCTCTGAGCTCAGTAGTGTAGCAGAATGCCTTAAATAGTTCTTCTTACATAAGAAGCACTACAAACGTTGGGGTACACTTTTTTCATACACAAAGCTTTTCAAAATACAAATGAGTAATAAACATATTAAAGACTGACAAGGTTTATATTGAGGAAAAGACAATCACATGCAAATTTTTGTGTTAATATTTGTGACATGGCTTGGGAATTATGTCACAAATTGTATCCCATTTTGTGATATCAGCACTCAGCAGTACCCAAAGCCTTCAGGTGTTTACATAAAATATTTTCAATAGTCTTTTACAACAGTTTGTAAACAGTTTGTACGCACAAATCATTATTTAGGCAAAACTAACACTTCATAGCAAGGAAGACACTTTGATGAACACAAAGCTGAAGTATTTTAAATAAGGTGCTCCTGAGCAGCATAGTTAAAGCATTGGCCCTATTGTTGGGAGATTACAAGTTTAGTCCCTCGCAATGCCACAGCAATTCATGGCCAGGGAGTCCAAGAGAACATAATTAGCCTCATTCTCTTTGGGTGGGTAGGATGCCCCTTCCACGCTACCATCACTCAGCACAATGCTAACCAAAGCAGGCATCTGTTAGCTGGCATTACAGAACTGGTTCTCCTCCAAGCATGTTGAGTTGCGTTAGTGGCGAACTGAAAAGATGTGGTGGCTGACTTCATGAGTCTTAGTGGAAAAACATGCTAGCCCTCACCCTCTCATCTTTGGTAGCATTGTGTGATGGGGAGACCTGGTAATTGGGGGAATTGCAATGACTAAAATGGAGATAAAATTGGTTAAAAGTCCCCCCAATATGCATCTCAAATAGTTGTTCCTGGTTAAGAAATCTTTTATTATTCTAATTTTTCAGAAGTATTTTCTTTTTTAATTGAAAAAAAAAACTGAAAATCAAGGTGTCCCAAAACTTTTGATGGTCAGCAAAGACTTAAAGACTATTTCTATCAAATGCACTTAGAATTACAGAGCTCGTGTGGTCATCTCAACCTGAGACATTCCACTTACCTTTTGGTCATTCAACTGGCCACAGCTTTCAGGATTTTGTAAGTTTCCATGTGAATGCCCTTCCATGCAACAGGTTTTATCAGTCTGCTCAGGGAAACAAAAAGTTACTCGCTCTGCATGTCATGACTGTCTGGCTTGCAAAACTACCCATGTGGTAACAAAAAAACCTAAGGTCATTTCTGGCCTGTAAATCAGATGACTTGAGTAATACAAAGAAAGGCGTCTTCATGGGTTTGGCTGAATGTCTCTGCTTCCAGATGACTGCACAAGCAGTATGGAATGTATATGTGTAGGGATCTCTGTTTGTTAGCTCACAGAAGCACAAGTTTTGTTGTTTAAAGCTAATGAAGTTAGACAGTGAAGTGTGTTGCTGGAGTTTTAATGCACACATATCCTTAACACAGCCTGGATATGGGGCTTGTTAACATATTTATTCATCCTTGCCCTCTCTGTTAATTACTCCCACACCCCTCTTTTCTGCTCACTGTCCTCCATAACCTCTTAAGTTCACTAAGGCTGCACTTCATAAATCTCTTTTCATCTGTTCATCTGTCCAAGCCACTGAATTTCTCTTTGCTTTGCTTGATGGAAAACATTAGCTGCCCTCTCTGGCATCTTCTCATATTCCTTTTTTCTTCTTTTCGTCTCTCTACAAAATCACTCCTGTGAACTGATGAGGTATTAGTGGACTAAACAATACAATATGGTAACAGTGTTATCATCATTTAGCTGGAGCTAATGATAGCTGACCTATCTAACCTATCTATGCTCCACCCATAAATACGGTCTTAAGTAGCAACTGTTGCAATGTTGGACAAAAATATTGGTAAAATGTTGGCAAAATTTCCAACCAGTTTAGTTTCGATTAGCTGCAACAACATAATCAAGAGCAGTACTAAAGCAGGTCCATGAGCACCTGGAGCACTTGTCCTTCCAGGGCCAGACACATGGTGATGGCTACCATCCAGCTGTAAGGGTAGGTGGCCATTTGTAGCTGCATAAAGTAGGGCTTCAAAGCACATTCACCAATGCAGCACGGTAGGTGGATATGTGCCATCTCTCTCTTGCCAGCCCCAGCCGTGCCATCCCTGCACTATTTCTTCTAACACCTTCTCTTTCACCATCTTCTCTTTCACCGTCTTCTCTATCACCACCTTCTGTTCTTCTTTTCCGTCCGCCTGTAAGTTCTTTGATACACTGTTCCACTTCTGACACCACTGTGTCTTCAGTGTAGAAGATGTGGGAATCTAGACGAGAAGAAGGTCCCAAGCCTACTAGCCATATCTCTTCACTCTCTGGTAGACCACAATGCACTATAACATATATACACATACTAAACATACAGCCTGACACACGTAACACATACATACAACTCAAACTAATGAACAACAACCTTAACATTGACAAAAAAAAAACAACAAGAAATGTCCTTATGAGAGGTGGCAAAGCACACAGTGCAGCTTTGTATACCATACCTCTAAAGCTCCTTCTGAAACATGGAGCATGTGGTGGACGCCACAAAATATATTTGTCCAATTATGTTTATCAGAGTCCTATAGTAGACCTCTTTGTATGTTTGGAGTTTGGAGACAATAATTGCATTCCTGTTGCCATCATGCATTTTGGATTGAGAGTGTCAGCACTCAAGGAGCAAACTGAATTCATGATAATGGTTATGTAACATTATGGTAATGGGTCTCATGATTCAGAAAAGTCTGAGGTTAATTTGCTTAAATCAACTGTCCATGTATGTGGGTACCATGTATGTAAACTAAACTGGAAACTCAGTATGATGTAACAATTATAACGTCACAACAGTTGTTAATACTGTTCCTATTTGTCTGGTATGAATAACAAAAAAGTAAGAAGTAAAAAAAAGAGAGCTTTCGCACAGTTGAAATACTTTATAACAGAGTTGTTACCAAAGACAGGGGTGCATGTGTGAGCCAGTGGAGGCAACTGCCAAATCAGCAGTATTCTCTGTGTGGGCTTGACCCAATCCAAGAGGTAATGCGGTCCAACTGGCTCTCACCTCACTCATAACTGTAAGCAGCCATGGACAATTGATCCTGTTAGAGCGTATTGTGTTGGGCAAGAAATGCTGGAGCCTTTGGGTTGAGATTTGAGCTTCAGTGGACCACACTCGAAGCATAATCTGAAAGCAGCAGTGCAGCACTAACCCTGCTAAAGTTTCTCTGTGTCACAGAAAGAGCAGACAGATTCATGCTACTGCCTCCACACACTTTACTTCTGTCCTGACACTTTCTGTACACATGCACTTTCTGCGTGCCATAATCAGTGAAGCTTGAACACTAAGCAAACAGCCCCCTGGGAAGCAGCGATAGCAAGATGGCTAGGCTAAAGGTTAATCTGGGGTTCCTGACCTCTGTCCATAGCGAGAGACTGGTATCAGCATGTAGATTCAGTGCAAAAGATCCATGGCTTCAACTCTGAAAGTTTTTACATCAATCTTGCTCAAGCATAGAGATTATTATGGGGTCTGGAAGCAGAAGCAGAGCTAGCAGTCACACAGTAAGACTTTTCTTACAGCATTCTGCAGGCTTGAGTTATAAATCAGTCTGCATCTGAGAAAAACCATGCCGAGATAGGCAGTAGGTATGAAGAAAGAGAGAAAGTGAAGGTCTAGACAAAGGATGGCGAGGATAAACTAGAATACTGCACAAGGATCTATTGTATATTTGCAAATACACTTTTAAAATTTAATGTGTTCTTTGGAGTGATGTTACAGAAGAACCACTTTTGGTTCCCTGAAGAATCTTTAATATGAATAGATTGATTAGGCTATTTCTTTTTAAATAAATTACAGAAAAGGACTGGTTTTGGTACATTATATTTCCAGTTGTTACAAATATCTACAGGTTTTAGAGTATAAGTAATGAACTATGAGATTACTTTTTAAA